CCCAATGCAACCCTTTACTGATTCAGTCAAACAATCGTGAATTCAATCCAAACGCATTTTTTTACTGATTAAGTTAAACAATGCGAATTCAGTCCAAATCTCGGAATAACTTGCAAAGCATCGTAGAATTAAATTTTTCTGAGGAACCGCGCACGAAAACCCTAATTCCTGATCAAATGCCAAAGAACATTCGCTTGATCAAAGTTGAGCCAAAATCAATCAAAACCCTAAGCCAACTGTTTGAAACATTCTAAAGCCCTGAGAATCAGTAAAACCCTAATTGTGTCTGACTGACGAGAAAAGTCCGTTTGGCCGATTCTTGAGCCAGTCTGAAAAATCAGGAAACGCCTGAAGCTGTGATTTCTTGTGGAAAAATGCGAGGGCAAATTTTGGGGTACAACATTCATCATGCGCTGATATGTAGCGCCTGCGTTTTTTAGGCCGAAGAGAATCACGTTGTAGTATTAGTTGTTTGATTTGGTCATAAAAGGTATATTTTTTGTCCGCTTTCGCCATGGGTATCTGGTTGTATCCAGAATATGCGTTCATGAAAGATAATAATTTGAAACCGGTCAAGTTATCGACCAGTTTGTCGATATTGGGGAGGGGTTAAGCATCTTTCGGGCAAGCCCGGTTGAGATCGACATAATCAATGCACATACGCCATTTTCCATTAGATTTTTTCAAGAGGACTATATTTGAGAGCCAGGTTGTGTACTAGGCTTCAGAAATAAAATATGCTTCTAGGAGATCTTTAACAACCTGCTCGGCAGCCTCAGTCTTTTTAGGAGACTGCTTCCGCCTACGCTGAGCAATTGCCTTAAGGGCAAATCTATGGTTAGATGGTGACATGCAATCTCTGGGTCCAATCTGAGCATTTCAGCTGCGCTCCAGGAGAACAGATCAAAATTCTCCCTCAAGCAAGCTTTAAGTTGTCTCTTCGTCAGGTCAGGGAGGTAGGCTCCGATCTAAACTCCTCTAGAAGGATCGTTCCCAAGGGGGATGGCTTCTAAGTCCCCGTATAGAATAGGCCGCATGGGATCTGAAGGCTCCTCGTTGTCTGCACTCGGGGATGAGTTCTCCACTTCCACCATGGGCTCCTTCCCCTTTCTCCTTCGCTCTGCGCAATCTTCATTTGAGAAGCGGATATCAAGGTCGATGGTGTTGACCCTTGTCAATAGCTTGGCATCCTCGGGCCTGGATGGAAAAGCGAATACAATGGTCGTTTAGGGCTGAGCGTTGATGGAACTCAGGCCCTTGGACGAAGCTTCAAAACACCTCCTTGTTGTCTGGATGTCCCCGTGGAGGGTGGCGACAAGCCTTCGGCAATGTAGTATTTCATTTTGAGATGCACAGTGGAGGACACCATAATCAGTTTGGCTATGGTGGGACTCTCGAAGATACATTGATAGAGAGACGAGAAGTTCATTACTAAAAATTGAATCTTAATGGCTATGGTGGTCACCCCTTTCTTGAAGGTGACAATTAGTTCGACGTACCCCCAGGGTTTGGTGTCGGACCCGTTGAAGTCCTGGAGGTCCGAGCCCTTGTACAGGGTCAGGTGGGTTTCGTTCAACTGAAGGGTGGTGAATAACTGGGTGTATATGATGTCCACCAAGCTTCCTTGATCAACCAGGATGGGTCGAACATCAAAGTTTTCCATGCGAGCCTGCACGAGCAGTGGGATGGTCGAGTTGGGAGCTCCGCCTGGTAGTTTCTCTCGGTAGAATGCGAGGGGATGAGAGCCTCCCCTGAACTTGTCAAGGGTAGCGTCTATGTTGGAGTTGATTTTGATAAGCTGATCGAACCTTCTCTTTACGGACCCCGCCGTGTGCTTATTGAATCTTCCGCCGAAGATGACCATCACAGCGGGGAAAGGCTTCCAGGGACTATGTGAGGAGAAGTATATGGGGACATCCTTTATGCCCGAGAAATAGAAATCTTCTGGTCATGTGATGCTCATGGCGACCAGTATGATATCGTTATCGGGGGACTCATTCCCCTCTTCGAAGCTCTTGGTTTCTAGAGGCTCCTCGCGGGCATCCTCTTCTTCTTCTTATACTGCTTGAGGTACCTGTCTCAGATCAGTATCTCAATCGCATCCTTGAGATGGATGCAATCATCGGTGTTGTGACCATGACTTTTGTGAAACCTACAATACTTGTTCTTGTCTATTCTGGGCCGTGCAGGCGTTTGGCAAGGAAAGCGCATCCCAACCTGTTTGAATTCTGAGTTGGCGCATTCGGTTAGAATATGCTCCCTCGAGGTGGTCAGAACGGTGTAATCGTGAAATCAACCAGCAAGCCCCTTATAATTTTTGGAGTCTCGAGATTTGTCTTCCCACTTCTTCTTCCCCCCCCCCCCCCCCCCCCCCGACGGGATGTCGAGGGCTCGTCACTTTTTAAGGACTTGCCACTTTCTCAGTGCCTCGAATCCTAGCATTATTGGTCACTTCTTCTCTTCGTACTGAATATATGTTTGAGCCTTAAGGAGGAGGGAGTCGAGTGTGGCTGGAGTTTCGATGCCCACAGCCTTTGCGAAGCTACTGCGGGGACGGAGCCCTTATTCAATAAGGTACTTCTTCATGGCATCGGTTGTTGAGACCTGCACGACTTCTTTATTGAAGCGCTCGATATATGCTTGCAGAGAATCATCTATGCCCTGGATAATCGCTTCTAGCGACACTTCTAATTTTGGGTGTCGGCGAAAGGCAATGAAATGCCTCAAAAATATCTTTCTCAGTTGTTTCCAAGAAGTGATAGATTCAACGAGCAGACTCTTGTATCAAGCCATGACACATTTTTTTAGAGTGCTCAGGAATAACCTGCATTTGATCGCGCCTTTCATGCCTCAGTAATCAAGTTGGGCGTCGATGTCTTCTATATGGTCATTTGGGTCGACCGTACTATCGTAAGATCCCAACGGGGGCGGCTTCTCGAGCCTGATCTGGAGTCGTGTCTCAATAATTTCTTTCGATAATGAACCGCGGGGCTCGTCGTCATCGGTCTCTTCTGGTAATGATGGTTAGGAGTGATGGTTTCTACCTCGCCGAACATCATATATTGTCGAGGGGAGGGGCTCCGCCCTCATCGCCTCGGTTTAGGTGATAGTGACCTGCTGCGGTCGTCTTTGCAGGTGCTCTCTGTCTTCTTAGAAAGCGGAAAGTCTTTATCCTTCTTGGGAAATGCTCTATCACGTTTCTTGCGGAAAGAAACGTCGAGCCTTTCCTTTCTTGGAGGATGCAAATCTCAGGGAGGCGATATGCTGGGGGAGTTATGTCGTTAGTGACTCCGAGGAAGAGACCTTGACTGTTTCCGCTCCAGAGCTCCCATCCATTTGCTCTGCTGGAGGATTAGAGAGTTGGTTTGGTTAATGGCAATGATCAGTGTTGTTATGGATGGGCCGGAGTTTTGTGGAACGAGGACTGATTGTAGAATTTTGGGCTGGTCTTCGACATGGTTCTTGGAAAACTGTTCGTCCAAGAATAAATTATTATCGCGATCAGGATCGATAGAATCTGGAGACGCAGTATATCTGTCACGGGCGCTAAAGTTATCCTCGAGGTGAGTATGTTTTTGGCTTTCGTCGGTCTTGCATGCCGAGGAGAGCATAATCTTTCCAGATAGTTGGTGATCATTATGGTCGGTCATGATTAATGAATGAGGAGGATCTTTGGTCTTCAGATCTTGGAAAACAGAAAACGAGGAAGATAGTTCCCACAGACGGCGTGACTGATCTTACCGGTTGATCAGAACCTGCAAGTTCGCCGGAGGATGATCTTTGATGGGCTGGAAAGTTGAGGAGAAAATGGAGTTGTACCTGCAAAGCACTCCGACGTTCAAGTAAGTGTGGGAGCAAAGAGATACAAGCAAAGTATTAGGGTTTTAGTGATGAATATTGGATATTTGACCCTCACATGTGTGAGGGTTTATATAATGCCTTCGGCGTTTTGTCATCGGTTCCTATTCTTGAGCCTAGATACGTTGGTCCTCAAAAATATGTAACTGTCAAGACTCGGTCAAAACGAGCAGATGTGCTCGCAACTAGCCGTTGGATTCAAGGAGGAGGCACATTACAGGCAGAGAGGCGTTTTAGTCGTTTCCTGGTTGTTTGTTCGACTCATATCGGGTTGACGGGGAGATAACCGGTGACTGAGTTAGGCGTGAGTGGCGGGCGTCGCTGGTCGCGCTCCCAGGAGTGTGGTCGACCATGATGTTAGACCAGTGTTATTGAGCCGTGTTAGGGATTAAGCGGATCGGACCAATCCTGATCATTGGATCAGTCCAGAACACATACTAAGAAGACATAATATTTTATATATCTGAGAAGGCACACCAATTTTTTAGAAGAGAAGGGGATGATTTGGAATTATGTCTAGAAAATCCCTTAATAAAGGCACTTACCGGATGTACGATATCGGTTTCATTGTTGGGTGGAGAGCATATGAATTTGACAGTAGATGATGTTATATACCTGGGCTGTTAGAAGATTGTCACTGATCAAGGTATGTCAATCTCCGGAGAATCAGGGAAGAGAGGAGAATTAAGAATTACATTTCTTGTTGAGTTTCCAACACATCTTACAGATAATCAAAGATGTGATGTTTCTGGTATTTTACAGCATTCTTGTTAATTAATCCAAAGCTTTTTTTTTTAATCTGTGATGCCTATTTATTTTGCAACCGTAATTTTGATATTTTGATGGCTCCAGGATTGCAACGCGGCTGATGTATATAAGGCGCATTGGCTAAAATTTGAACTCAATTGTATGTTATATTAAAGATTGCGATGCAACTGCAATTTAAAACCATGGTGGAAATGCTAGGGAGAAGTATCAAATATCAACAAACAATTTGCTTTTACCAAAGCAAAAGCCTCACTTTATAAGTTTATTTTGAAAATTTTGTTACAATGAAATTAATGTGAAAAGTAAAATACAATAAAACCAAAACAAATGATACAACACCAGAAAAGCAGCCACATTTGAAAACAAATTAAAGCTTAGGACCATCCAATTAGCGCACGAACTACACCAGGAACATCACCGGCTACTAGAGCCTTCATCATTTTTTGCTTCGTGTCAGTGTAAGGTGGGTACCTTATCGATGAATCGCCTGTAAAGCCGCGATAAAGAACTGCCTTTCTGTGAGTAAAGGCATCAAAGGAGAATTTTCCATGGTATGCACCCATTCCACTGTCACCAACTCCCCCAAATGGCAATGTATGAACCACAAGCTGCACAAGGAAAAGGATAAGAACAGATATAAATAACATGGCACGACAAGGATATATGAGCTAAATTATGCGTTTTTTTCCGAAAGGTTTTAGAAAATAAAGAACAATACATGTAAGACAGTGTCATTGATAAGCAAACCCCCAGCAGAAACATTCTTCACAAATTGCTCCTTGAACTTGTTGTCGTTTGTAAATAAATATGCCGCAAGTGGCTTTGTTCCCGCGTTGATCAAATCGAAGCTTTCTTCCAGCTTATTCACCTGTCACAAACAATAAAGCATGTATTATAATCAATCTTCCATTGCTAGTTATTAGTTTAACATTTAGCTTAAAAGTTTTGCAATTTGTCCACAACGGACTAGCAGCTGTTATATATGTGCACAGATTGTTCATATTAGGTTCTTGGAAAAAATTAACCAAAGAAGACAGATGAAATTTGAACTAAATCACATAAAGTGAGTTCTTTGTGTGTTTTTATTCTTACCGTGACTATTGGAAGCAATGGACCAAAGATTTCCTCACTCATTATCAGGGAATCTTGCGGAACGTCTAATAAAATAGTTGGAGCAATCCTCCTGTAATTTGCTTGTGTCAATATCCATCGATTTTTCACTATATTGAACTTTAAAATAAGAAACAAGATGAGAGCTTACAATTTGCTTTCATCCTTTTCACCTCCATAAACTATCTTGCCAGAAACCTTATCCTCGTCCAAGAACTTTGTCAAGCGAGCAAAGTGGTTAGTGTTTACAATGCGCGACAAGTCTTTCGATTCTATTGGGCTCTTTCCAAAGCAGTTTTCTAATTCAGTCTTTAAAGCGTCTACCTGAAAATGAGAAGCACCGAAAATTAGATACCCATAGACAAAGATTTACAACTCTTGATCACACAAGGAAAATTTTATACCAATTTCGGAGCAAATTCTTTCGTTGTTATAAGATAATCAGGAGAAATGCAGGCTTGTCCGTTGTTACAGCCCCATTTGCCGGAAATTATCCGTCTTGCAGCAACCTTATAAATACAAATGCGACCTTAGTCAATAGATAAACTCAAACCAATCAATACAAACGCGGCCTTAGTCAATAGATACACTCAAACTAATCAACACAAACGCGGCCTTAGTCAATAGATAAACACAAACTAATCAATGCAAACGCGGCCTTACTCAATACCTCTAAATTGACATTTGAATCAACAACAGCTGGAGATTTTCCTCCAAGCTCCAGAACAACTGGTGTAAGGTGTTTTGCAGCAGCAGCCATCACTATCCGTCCCACTTTTCCATTTCCTGAAAAATTCAATAATTACTTACGCTAGTAACCATGTTTTCTTCAAGATTCGCAACCATCCATGAAAAACAGATCAATAATAACAAAAGAGACAAACCTGTATAGAAAATTTTGTCCCACTTTTGTTGCAGCAACGCAGTAGTTTCATCCACTGCCCCTTCCACAACTCTTATAGACGAGTTATCCAAGTACTCCCCTAACAATTTCGCCAGCAGTGAAGATGAAGCCGGAGCAATTTCTGATGGCTTTAGAACCACAACATTACCAGCTGCTATAGCTCCGACGACTGGATCAAGGGACAGCACTGGAAAGACAGTAATATTATAATTTTCAACTCAAAAACATATAAACAAGAGTATGTTTTGAACAAACAACTTAATTAAGTATCTATAACATAACCGTTTATCATATAAGTTATCTATATGTCATTTGGATAATAGGAGATAAATTCAAATAAGTCAATCCAATAGGCTCGTCTCATAGTAGACTTACAAAAAGGATAGTTCCATGCGGAGATAACTAACACAACACCAAGTGGTTCAGGTATGATTTCAGCCGAAGACGGAAAAGTTGTGATTGAAGTTTTAGCCTGAAACAATTAAAGATACTTGATATGATAAATCAAATAAACTAAATATAAATAAAGAAATTAAAGTAAAAGAAAAAGAAAAAAAAAAACCTTTTCTGGTGTCATCCACTGTTTCAATTCCTTGAGCACGAGTTCGCATGAGTTTTTAAACATACCAATCTGTAATTGAGAGAAATGGAACAAAATGAAACTCATTTTGATGATTTGAATTAACTTAAGCACGAAGATAACTTAACATATGAATTTAAATATAATTAATGAGTAAAATCAATTACCTCGTAGACGACGGTTTCAAGTGGCGGTTTAGCAAGGTCAGAACGAAGAGCATCAACGATTTGATCCTCTTGTTCAGCTATCATTTTCAAAAGAGCCTTCACCTGCGATATTCTCCATTCATAACTTCGCGTTTTACCAGAACTGAAACTCACCCTCAGCTCCTTCACCAGCGACGACGCGGCTTCTCCGTCAAACACAATCTTCTCCTGTGACTCATCGGCCATTATTATACTGTTACTGTTATTTTCCGTAGGTGATATATGAATAAAGAGATAATCTGAGTGAAAAGATGAAAGTGAATTTGGAAATATGAGTTGAAACTGAAGGATGATGGAGATGCAAATTTATAGTTTAAATTCCATTGTTGTTGTTTTGTTGACTATGTAAAGAAGAAAAGAGACGTATTAAAGCAACAATCTCTTTCGAAGTTTTTCTTCTCCTATTCAAATTTCAGCCGACGTTTTATGTTTCTAAATTGGAAACCAATTTTCTTTCCTATTCATAACGACTATTTTTGTAATTAATTAATTAATTATTGAAAGACATTTTTCTAAAATAATTGCAACCAATATATTTTTTGAAAACTTGTATGTCTCTTATATTCTCTTAAATTTGTTCTTTTTAAATGTCATTTTTTTTTATATTAGTAAGAAATTGTATTAAATCAAGCACAAAGAGTACTTAATTCAAATATATAAAAAAATGACTGAATTACAATATCACAAGTAGTAATTTGGACATCCAATTGATTATAGAAGAAGATTGGTCAAAATATCGGACGCAAAGTTAGAGATGTCAAAATAGACTATCTGATCTTAAATAGATTAATTCTGACAGACTCTGGATTTTTTAGAGCTAGGTCAAAAAAATTTGTTATAATATAGGCTCGAGAATTATTATCTGAGTTCGGTCTTAGATGGACTTTGGACTATCTGATTCTAAATGGTTTTTTTTAAGTATGTATTATCTTTTTTAAACATAATATATTTTCAAATACTATATTATCTTTTATAAATATTATAATGTGTTTTTAAATATAATACACATCTAAATTGTATAAAATAATATTCAAATATTTAACATAATTGAAAAACTAATAGAATACGATAAAAGAGTATTGATTATATTAATGTATAATATTTAAAAGAGAAAAATTGAATAGAATAGAGATAAAATTTAGTGAGGTGGGAAAAATCAATGTGTTACTTTTGAGTAAGGCAATATAACTATTAATATAATTTTTTTAAAATTTATAGTTATGCGGGTCTAATGGGTACCCACGGTCCATATGGGCTAACCCTAATGGGTAGCGGACTTTTCAGGGCTGGGCTAAAAAGGTCATGTGTAGCGGTAGAAATGTTTAGACTAAGTCATTGGATTAACTTAACTCGCGCATATCAAATAAAAATCGCCACCGCACTTTATTGTTTCTAGAGAAATAGAAAAAGAGCGAATAACCCAAAAAAGAGGGAGAGATAATCTAGGTACGGGGGTTGGTTATGTAAAGAAAAGGTATTAGCACCCTAAACATCTACGGTACACCGTAGGAACCTCTTTGAAAATTTGTGTATTTTGACTATAAATGTTGTATACAAAAAAAATAGATGGTGGAGGTGAGAAGAGAAATATTTTTTTAATATTTTTGCACCCGCATGGTTGTGAACCTTTAGTGCCTACGTACCACCTTCCGTGCAATAGGGGATCGGGGTACTCGTAGTTCTCCTTTAAAAATTTTAAAACTCAAGTGTGTTGGTTAATTTTAAGAGAAAAGACATCATCGTCATATCCGAGTGGAAAACATACTTACTACCCCATGATTATGAGAAAGAAGAATTTGCGTCATCTCAAAGTGGAGGATATAGCTTGGATTTTAAAAATCAACAAAGCTTCACTCAACACCCAAGTGGAAAACATCTCATTTTATTACATATTGTAGAAGTATAGTAGCTCGCATCACTACAAGGATTGACAAGAGTCTAATCTTTTGAGAAAATTTTAAAGTAAAAAATCAAAGTGGAAAAAATGGTTTGAATGAGGTTAATTGACTTTTAGTCTTCTCACAAAAAAATGTCGAAGTATGATTAAGTTGGTTAAAGTTTGATTAAGAAAATATTTTTTTAAATGCATGGGCCTAGGTCAAAGTTTACTATGAAAGTGGTTCAAGTTTGAAAACAAGAAGAGTTTTGAAAAGGAGGCAGAAGATTTTTGAAATTAAAGAAGATGGGAAGAGATGGAGGGAATAAACCTAAAGCATAAGGCAAAAGTTAGGGAAAAGAACCATCTAACCAACAAGAGTCAACACTTGATATAAAGAGTCAATGTAGAATTCTCATCCTTTGGATTGAAACCAAGCAAGTAAAGATACTAAACCTCTCAAAAATACCAAGCTTCAGATGCATTAAGTCTTTGCAAAAATTGGACAGAGTAACGACTGTATACCAAAGAATTCTCAATCATAGACAAAGCAGATAATCATAATAACCTGCACACAAAGAAAACCAACTCAATATCTTAGGGTAAACCCCAAAAACTCCAGACAAAATAACAATCAGAGCCACAAGGTCTTGAGGGTATCAAAGACTTCTAATCCTAAGTTCGAGAAATCCACAACTCCAATATACCAGGGATAGTAACCAAATAGTCCAAGTAACATTAAAGTTTTTTAGTGTTCAAGTTGGTTACTAAATATCTTCAAAAAGAAAATAAAAATTCAAGTGAGCAAAAAATAAAAATAACGTAAAGATAAATGCTCAAGTGAGCAAAGATAAAAATGGCATGAAATGTAAATGCTAAAGTAAATGGTGCATAAAAATAAAGACACAAAATAAAGGCATTAAAGTAAAAGCACAAAGTAAAAGTCAATTATTAGTGAATTAAAAGTTAGAGGTTAGTTGAATAACCATCTTGAAACTTACATTTAAGAACTCATTAGAAGATTGATAAGATCAAAGCTTCTCAACAACAAGTCCCATTTGCTTTTTGTTAAGTATATCATTCGTTTCAAGTTCTCGAAGCGAAAACATATGACCAACGATGTTTAAATGATTCGCTTAGACCAAAGTTTATGAAGGTTCATTAGAGGATTGATAAGATCAAAGCCTTCTAATAATAAACCTCAAGGTTGTTGGATCAAAGGTTTCAAGTTAAACATACTTGGGCTTGCAAACATAGGTTTGGACCACGAATGATCATTTCTCGAATCGGGATAAATTTAGCGCTATGTTAAGCAATCGTAAGTGGATTTGTGTAGAAGTCACACCTATTTTGAGGCCGGTCAATAGCAATCTATGTATCATATATTTAGATAAATGATATGTAGATCATTCTCTAACAACATGTAGCATAAGTAAGAAAGAGATAAGATGAAGAGGGAGTGGATGTATCAAATGAAATTAGAGTTTCAAATATCATCATCAACACCATTCATTCATTTTAGTGGATTTGGTTTTCCAACCTATCAACACCCAAGATCCAATGTGGTTGAAGAATTTGTCTCAAAATAACACCCAAGTCAGAACCAAATAAATAATAAAATAATATTTAATAAAACAATATTTAAATGGTTAATAAAAAGAAAATAATTGGTAAAATACATAAAGTATATTAAAACATTAAATAAAAATCCCAAAAAATAGTCAGAAGTCAAACATGAATTAATAAGTGTTGACAAATTTTCTTGGAATTTTTTGAAGTCGGAAACTATTTTTAAAATTTAAATAAACATGCAAAATAAACCAAAAACTGTAAAAAATAGTAAAATCACAAATAAAAATAAAATGAGGTCACCAATATTTGTCAAGAGGTCATTGGATCCTTCTATAATTTTTCAAGAATTAAAAATCACCAAAAAGTATTTTTTTTTAAACAATTAAAACAAATCAAAATAAGAGAAAAATTATTAAAAATATCAAATCATCAAATAAAATTATAAAAAAATAAGAATCAGAGAGTTAACATTTGAAAATATTTTTGTGAATTTTTCATAATATTTGAGTCAGAAATGATTTTTTTATGAATTTTTAAAGTTTAAAACAATTAAATGTAAAAATAGAAATAAAAAATAAACTAAAAAAATATGGACTATCTAATCATTATCAAGACGCGTTAGTAAGCTAATCTAACGAATCAGACGCGCTATGCATATCATGGTCTTCAAGAAATAACACATGTGATCAATTATTAAACAAATATGAAAAAATGTGTGGCAGTTTGTCATTAGCTGAAGACAGACACGTAGGTCTTCTCCAACCTCCGTCCACGCGATTTACAGGTTCATGAAATGAAAAAATTGTAGCTCGAGACCGGTTTCATTCGTTTCGTCTCTTTAAGACGATTCCAATGGTACCCTCGCGAAAAATTTATATAAAATGTAGCTCAGTCGATTTGAAGAAAATCAGAAGAAAAAGTTGAATATGAATTTGAAAATTCATGATCAAAACTCACTTCCAGTTAAAAATAAATGATGCAATGAGTATCAGAGTGATGAAAGCTTCATTGTAGTAATAAATTTTGAGAGAATTGATGAAGGAATCTACCTGTTGAAGTTCAAATTTAGAGCTCTGAAACTTGACTTGGCTAGCACGATTTAGGATAATTCAGGGCTTGGTTCTTCTTCTGTTAGCTTCAGTGAAGTTCAGAGATGAAGAATTAGCAAAGAAAATGGATTGGCAAAGGTTGTAGAACCAAATTTGAAGTTACAGAATTATGAGTTATAGAGAGAGTTTGGCAGAGTGATTTTGGTTGTCCAAGCTCATTCAAATGAGTAGGATATCACCCTCTATTTATAGGGAAGCAAATGGGATGCTCAAGCGCGTGGAATGATGAGATTTTGAAAAAAATCGTGTGAAGTTGTAAGCATGAAAAATGTGACTCATATTTGCTCAAAACTCAGCCAAAACTTGCGTTTCAAGGTGCTAATCACTTCTAGAAGATTGTTAAACATGATTAGAAGTAAAAACACACAACAATTTGGTGATTAGAGGCCACATTAACCAATTTGCAATCTGATTGTTTTGACAAAATCAGTTTTAAGGTGTCAATTTTGAATCTATGGTGCACACAACTCAAGGGGCTTTGTGATCTCATTTTTTTTGAAATGGAAAGATTTCACCACAAACTTCACAATATGCCAATAAAGGTAACATTTGGATGCTTGAGTAAAAAGTTATGATCAATTGAAATAGTGAAAAACACACTGAATTGTGGACTTAGAAAAATTTCAAGT